GCAATATAACAAACTCCACCCGATTAAACAGTCTTTCTAGCTGTTTGTTTGATAACTTTTCTAACGCCGTCGCTACCGCTTTTACCAAGAGAAAATAAAACAAAAAGAAGAATCACATCTCTCCAATCTTCAGTGAATCAGTAAATGCGTCTCCGTCAGTGTCGGACTCCTTATCAAGAAACGCAAAAGTTTCCCATCTAAGGATAACTTTAAAACTTTATCCGACGCAAGCAAGGAATACAAACACCCTTAGCCTCGAAAGGAACAAAGAATGGAAAAATTTTTGCAGTAACATAAAGAGTGATATATATTGTGAGGCTGGTTTCCGCCGCTATTGCCGCGGCTAACTCACCGAACTCCAGGCACCCCTCCCACAAAAAATGTATTCTTGATTTGTTCGCTCGTTGTTTGGATTTAATTTTTTGTTTTATAATTCACTTACGCACTAAAAAAGGAAAAATAACTCCGTAACGGAACGCCGCGGCTCATAACCGCCACTTGTGTTCTCTAGCTCCGGAAGTAGGCATCCAACCATGTTTTAGCCACTGTAATATTGGCTGTGACGTCATGTGTTTCATAAACAGATTAATATCTAACCACGATAGATACAGTGACCAGGTATACAAAATCAACCTAACAGACAACGCACGTATGGTTCACTACGATCCCGAGGCCACCTTCTTACCGTCTGCCCGAATTTCAATACACCCTTTCGCCAATCCACACTTCGCATAATGCCCTAACGCAACCTTCACAATCCCACCATCCTCGAAATACCTCATTCTTGCAATCTGGCAGCTTACACAAAAATCTTCTCTTCCTTCAATTCATGCAAACTAAATATATAGAAGCGAAACGTTAACTTCCAAAACAACAATTGAAATCTCAAATCTGTTTGCTGAGTACTTCCGACGAAACTTTTCGACAGCTAATTCCGATTTATCAATAAACTACCCATACCCTATAACTAACTTGGTTTCAATTCCCAATTTAGTTATTTCTGAAGATGACGTTTTTAAAGGGTCGATTTTTAACCAGTCCTTGAATTAAGGTGTTGTCTCTTTGTGTTGGAAGAGTTGTTTCCTTATTCCTATTCACAAAAGTGGAATTAGGCAACTCGTTGAGAACTACAGGAGCACAGCCTAGTTGAGTGTCTTGCCTAAGCTATTTGAGCGAATTGTGACTCAGTATTTGGCCTTTGCCATTAATTCGTATATTTTTCCACACCAGCATGGCTTTCGGAAAGGAAGATCTAAGTTCACCGATCTGTTCGAGTTTATTTGTCATGTTTTCAAGGCTTTTCCTAGCGGTGCTCCCACAGATGTCATGTACACTGATTTAAGCTGAGCGTTTGATTTGGTTAATCTTAACTTACTTGTCTTTAAACTCCAAGCCTTCGGCTACCCTTCCTATTTAGTGAAATGGATAAGCTCTTATCTGCACAGTGGATGATTCAGGGTTTTGTGTAACTTAATCACCTCGGATGAATTCCCCGTGACATCTGGCGTACCTCAAGGCAGCCACTTAAGCCCTTTTTTATTTAGTTTATGCATTAATGATCTTCCATCGGTGATTAGTTCCAGCCAGATCTTACAGATCCAGATCTTACTGTATGCTGATGATGTAAAACTACTTTCTTCCTTCTCTGTAGAATCGCAATCACATCAGCTTCAAATTGACTTGAATAATTTGGTTGCATGGTGCTCTTTGAATCTTCTGAAATTAAATATAAATAAATGTAAGAAGCTTTCTTCCCAAGAAGAAAGTCATTCATTACTCATTTCATTGATTCGCATTAGAGGACGTCGATACGTTGACAAATTTGAGCGTACTATTTGACCATAGATTACGTTTTAACTTGCTTATTGAACTCTCGTTAAGCAAAGCTAGGTCCGCACTTGGTTTTATAAAGAGGTCGTCCAAAGAGCTTGATGAACCTTACATTAAAAAAAGGCTGTACATGTGTTTGGTTAGACCTACACTTGAGTATGTCTCTGTTGTGTGGTCCCTTTCATAGGGATTCTATGTAGATTCAATTCAATCTGTTCAAACACAATTCTTGCTGTTTGCCCTTAGGAATTTGGCTTGGGAGCCGATTGCCTCTCTTCTCCCCTATAAAAATAGGTTGCTTCTATTATCCTTACCGACACTTGAGAAACCTGAATTTGTTCTTGGCGTTTCCTTCGTAAGCAAAGTAAAAAACGGTACAATTGACTCGTCTGCATTACTTGGTCAGATAAGCTTTAATGTCCCTAACCGCTTCTCTGGGCACGTTATCTTAGTTGAGCTTAGTCAATGTAAATACAATTATATGCGGTTTAACCCGCTCAGAGTTGTTTGCAGAAACCTGAATTATGCCTATCACACATGCGCCATTTACCTATGTCGTACTTAAACTAACGTTTCATTCTTAATATCTCATTTTTTATTTAAAATAATATTGTGTTGTTAACGTGTTGGTTCCCAAGCTTAATTAGTATAACATATTCTATTAAGATACACTGAATTCGATTGTAATTTTCTTTAGTTTAATTTTATGTGTAAATGGGTAAAATAAAGTAATATAAAAAACAAAAAAAACCGACGAAAAATCCGAAAACACTTTGTTTTCAGTCTTTCCCTTTTGTGTAATTGGTGCACATAATTCCACTTCCTAAATATAAAACTCAAAATAATATTCTCGTAAATAAAATTCTTACATATTCTGTTAAAAAAATCTATGCGAAATCACCTCTTCTATATTCTACATTAAATCTTGATACTAATTCTCCTTCTGCAAAATCAAAATCAGTTCGATTAGCCTCAATTAAAGAAATTCTAAATCATGCTACAGAAATAGGAAACAATAAAAAACAAGTAAGAAAATTATATTCGGCGAGGACTAGGTTTTTCGCATTCTACTCTCCAAGTTCTTTTACTTGATACCCATATCGCTGGTATTATTAAGAAAGAATTAATCGCCGTATCTGCCGTACTCATTTTAAAATTAACCCATTTTTAGGCCGATAATATATCTTCATATAAGGAGTGTACAATATAGTTTTAAACATTCGATCTTATTTGTCTTATGATAAATAAGCATAAAACCTCAAAAAAGTGAAAAAACAAAATGTAATCATTTTTGCACGTAAGGAGTGGAGTGTGAAAATTTTCAGCTCGCGGTCTTTTTTATCGGCAATAACTCTCCAAAAAATTACGCTGTTATCCCTAAAGCAATTTATTCCTATACTTATTAGTAATGGATCAACAATTCATTGATTGAAGTATTATTTAATTAAAAGTTAATTAAAATTAATTATCACCCTAATAAAATCATTAATTTAATTTTAAAAAACACTTATTCTAAATTCATTAACAAAACAATAATAAAGATTTATAGGAACTCCCTGTTTTTTAATTTAATTTCATCGTTTTTACCAAAATTTAAAATTTTACCACAAATAGTATTGATATAGTTATTATTTCGTCGAGTCATTCAATTCAACTCTCAATTAAAAAACTGAAGATTATGCTACCTTTGTGCTGTCAATACGCTGCGGCCATTAAATAATTCTGAATTCTTTATAATAACTTATCATTTTTTATTTATGAAAATAATTATATATATAATATACCTATATAAATTAAATAAATA